AAAATCAGACCTGAAAAAAATCAGGCCTGTACGGGACTCGAACCACTGACCTCTGCGATACTATTGCAGCGCTCTACCAATTGAGCTAACAAGCCAACTGGGAGCAGGCCGTTAAGTTGATTCGTAATAAACCCGTGAAAGCGATAAATCAGATACAATGAAATATATGAAGTTCATATGTTTTGAACTGCGGTATTAGATACGTATGATGCACGATCCTCGCAGTAGATAGCGCTATTTAAGCAATAGCAAAAATCAGACCTGAAAAAAATCAGGCCTGTACGGGATTCGAACCACTGACCTCTGCGATACTAGTACAGCGCTCTACCAATTGAGCTCTACTACGATACTAGTGCAGCGCTCTACCAATCCCGTACAGGCCTGATTTTTTTCAGGTCTGATTTTCGCTATTGCTTAAATAGCGCTATCTACTGCGAGGATCGTGCATCAGACGTATGGTTGACTAATTGACTGGTACCTGACCAGCTGACTGACTGGTGGACTGCCTTACTGACCGACTGGTAATGGACTTACTGGCTGACTGGTTACTGATCTGCTGACTGACTGGTTGACTGAGTGACCGAGTGACTGACTGACTGACTGACAGACTTGCTGGTACTTGACCGGCTGACTATCTGGTACGATACCTAGCTGACCCATTAGTGATTGACTGGTCTAGTGACTAGTTGACTGAGTGGTTGAGTGAATTACTGGTATGTCTCTGTGTATCTGAATGGTTGACTGAGTTGTGGACCCTTTTGTGAATGACTGGCTAACTGACTGTCCGACTGACTGACGAGTGACCAGCTGACAGATTGGTTTACTACCTTTCTAACCGACCGGTGACTGACTTGATAAGCGACGGGTGACTGACTAACAGAGTGGTGACTGACTCGTTGACTGACTGGTGGACTGACTCACTGGTTCCTGATGGCTATCTGATTGGTTGAGTACCTGGTTGACTGACTGGTAAACTGACTTGCTGACCTACCAGTGACCGACTGGCTTACTGATTGGCTAACTGACAGAAGACTGCTTGACTGAATGACTAGTTGACTGACTCACTGGGTACCTGACCAGCGGACCGACTGGCTTCTTACCTTGCTTATGGTTTGGTGACTGACCAGCTAACTCAATAGGTCCCTGTCCGAGTGAATGATTGGTTGACTTACCGACCTATAAATTACTCACTGGCCTTTGAAGGGGCTGACTCATGGTTTGACGCATTTCACTCTGGCTACATTTCGCAGGAAAATCGGGTGACATCTGAATTTTAATGTTTTCTCATAGCCTTCGACACATTCTATTCCAAAGAATCGCTCTTGGCTTGTTTGCAGATAGTTTTTGCAAAACCGTGCTTTTTCCGCAAGTTGAGCAAGACTTGACTCATTTCACTCTGGCTAAATTTCGCAGGAAACATCGGGTATCAAGAAAACTTTTAGTGTTTTCTTACAGATTTCAACACAAACTATTGAAAAAAAATTGGTTTTGGGTTGCTTGCAGATATTTTTTGCAAACCCTGTTTTCTGCGCGAGTTAAGCAAGACTTGATCCAATTCACTCTCTGACCACATTACGCAGGAAACATCACGTATCAAGCAAATATTAGTGTTCCCTTACACATTTCAACACAAGCTTTTCAAAAAGGATTGGTTTTGGGTTGTTTTCAGGTACTTTTCGCTAAACCCTGTTTTCAGCAGGAGTGTAGCAAGACTTAAACCCATTTCACTCTCTGACCAAGGTTCTCAGTAAACATCGGGTATCAAGCAAATTTTAGTGTTTTCTTACAGATTTTAACACAATCTATTCAAAACAATTAGTTTAAGGTTGTTTGAAGATACTTTTTGGAAAACCGTGTTTTCACGGTGAGTTTAGTACGACTTGACCCATTTCACTATCTGGCCAAATTTCGCAGGAAAAAACCGGGTATCAAGCTCATTTTCGTGTTTTCTCACAGATTTCAACACAATCTATTTTGCTTGGAGTTGTTTACAGATACTCTTTAGAAAGCCGTGTTTTCAGCGGGAGTTACCCATTTCACTCTCTTGCCAAATTTCGCAGGAAACATGGGTTATCAAGCGAATTTTAGTGTTTTCTTACAGATTTCAAGACAATCTATTAAAAAAATTGGTTTGGAGTTGTTTGCAGATACTCTCTCCAAAACCGTGTTTTTAGCGGAAGTTGAGCAAGACTTGACCCATTTCACTTTCTTGAAAAATTTCCCAGGAAATATGGGGTATCAAGCAAATTTTAGTGGTTTGTTATAGGTCTCAACACAATCTACTCGAAGAAGGTGGTTTTGACTTGCTTGCAGATACTGTTACCAGCGCGGGTTGAGCAAGACTTGACCCATTTCAATCTCTGGCCAAATTTCCCAGGAAACATCGGGTATCAAGCAAATTTCAGTCTTTTTCTTACAGATTTCAATGCAATCTAGTCAAAAAATTGGTTTTGGGTTGTTTCCAGATACATTTTGCAAAACTGTGTTTCCAACGTGAGGAGAGAAATACTTGGCGTATTTCACTCTCTGGCCAAATCTCGCAGGATTGATTGGACGGCAACTGGATTTTAGCGTTTTCTCACAGATCTGAAGACAGCTGACTCACAGGCTGAATGGCTGGCTGTCTCACTGGCTGACTGAAAGGTTGACTGACTCAATTGGACTTGACTGAGCATCTGACTGGTTAACTGACTTGCTGACCGACTGGTAAGTAAGTAAGTAAGTAAGTAAGGACTTTATTTATAGAGGGGGACACGTAGCACTGTATAGCTGACAAACCTGTGGCCCTCTAACTAGATTATACAGCATTACAGAAACCTGATAAATAAATAGATATATAAATAATTACAAAATTCTATAATAGAAATAGCAGGATAGATTAAAAATATTCAGAAAGATAGTGAGTGGCTAATTGACTGGTGACTGACTGGCTGACTAACTGGTTGACTGACCGGTTGACTGAAAGGTTGACTGAGCCAGTGGTACTTGAGTAGCTATCTGAGTAATTAACTGACATTCTGACCGACTGGTGACTGAGTGGCTAATTGGCTGACTGGCTGGTTGCCTGATCCGCTCACTGAGAGGTTGACTGACCCAGTGGTACTTGATTGTCTATCTGCATGACTGGTTAGCTGACTGGTTGACCGACTGGTGTCTGAGTGGCTAATTGACAGGTAACTGACTGGCTGACTGCCTCTTTGACTGACTGGCTGACTGAAGGGTTGACTGACTTAATGGTACTTGAGTGGTTATCTGACTGGTTAACTGACTTCCTGACCGACTGGTGAATGAGTGACTAATTGACTGGTAACTGACTGGCTGAGCAGCTTGTGTATTGTCTCCCTGACTGAATGGTTAGCTGACCCAGTGGTTTTTGACTGGCTATCTGACTGGGTAACTGGCTGTGTGACTGCCTAGTTGACTGGCTGGCTGAATAAAGGGCTCACTATTAAGAGGACGTTAATGAACTTGTGCGCGTGCGACTCGCGTGCGCGTGCTTTGGGACTACGTAGGCTAATAATATCGTAAGAAAATCACGCGGACCTTTTAATTTTGACGTGTGCGATTTTTTAGAGGAGTGCAAAAGTTTTTAGTTTATCGATTGGCAGTTTTGTTTACCGTGAGTCTGTAGTTTACCGTGTTGGAATTAAAGTGTTTGTTTGGATTTCCCGTTCCGCATCCGAACATTTTTGGCTACCACGATGGGAGCAAGGTATGAGCTGTAATTTTTTGGGGATTTCGTTGGCGAGTTGAGTGCTATGGCTTCCCCTGAATCCGATAATTGCAAAGTTGTTGAAGTTACCGAGAAAAACGACAAAACTGGACAGAGTAGAGTCGACAAACAGAAGCAAAAGGACGTTCTGTTAGTAGGGATTAAGAGAAGAAAACGTAACGCAAAGGCAAAATTGACAAAACTCAGGCATGAGTTGGAAAAACTATGCTTAAAAGATTCAGAAATAACGGACATAGAAAGTGTGATTGAACAGCTGTGGGTAGCGATAGAGGACGTACAAGAGATCTTAGAGGAACTGATAGCATTCTATGTGAAATTCGAAGAAAAAGCTGCAAAAAAGAAGCGTTTGAAGAGTCCGAAACGATCGAAAGAGAAGTAAAAAAAAAACATTGAAGCGGGTCAAAATGCGATTAAAGCCCGCGCGTCTAAAACCGAAAATATGAACTGGCCATCAAGCGAGAACACAGCGGATCGCTACGAGCAATTGGCCCGAGAAGATCAGCTTAACGAAAGCCACGGCAGCCACGACCACTGGAACCGATATTTGAAGCCATTAAAGGATCCCTTCCAACCACAATACCCTGCGCGCCTCTATTATTGTTTTGATGCCAGCAGCGTGATTCGCAAACGGCGTGACGTGACGAAAGGTCAAGAGATCGACGTCAATTGCGACAAAAATGGAAGAAACAGACCACGAGACAAGCAGGAATATCGATGTTGAAGGTCCATCGACACCCGTAAATGTGTACGGTTCGCCTGTGGCACCACGCGGCCGAGGAAACGAGGAATCCATCGTATCAACATCTCACGTTGTCCCTTTGCCTTTGGCGATCGTGAATCGAGTGGTAAGCTCAATACTACATTTTCTGCGTGATAGTACAAGACCAGAAATCCTTTCTTGAAATTCATCGATTTACAATAGCAAGTATTTTCTCCTGTCCCAGACCTGTTCCTGTAAGAATTCATGTAGCCGCAAAAAGACGGCTAAAACTCCTGGCTGTCCATGCCAAAATGCGTCGATAAAATGCTCCAGCAGCTGCACGTGTGGAACTAAGAGAACGGCGTGCAAGAACAAGACGGTCGAAGTTGTGGTGAATAGAAACCCCAGTGCTTTTTCTCGTCATCAAGAGCAAGCCGCTACTGCACAAAGGGAAATACAAGTAAGTTTAGTTCTAAGATATGTGTCCACGCCATCGTTGCCTTCGGTGGTTACATTTCCCAACAAAGCAATCACACATTCACTGTAAACTCGGCAACTTTAAAATCGAATTTGTTTCAAAATAACCCGAAACTTTTTTCTCGATGAAAGCATGCTACTGTCTTTCAAGTTCACTCAATCATTTTTCATTCTCTCCACAAGGAATTTATTAAAACCCTGGCCACGGATGAAAAAGACCACATCCTTCTAAGAGTTCTCAGCCAAGGCAAGGGAAGTCTGGATTATGCGAAAAACATCCGAGCAGAAATCAGCGACTCTGCAGCACACTCTGCTGATCCTGATCCTGGTCCTGATCGAGATGATGTTCCTGAATGGTGTGATTGTTCAGTTTGTAGACCAATGCCTCTAGTTCATGAATTTTAGCCTATGTTTTGAAGGAGGTAACAAAGCACGTGGGGCCAAGTATAGAAAATCAAATTGAAAAAATTTACTAAAACATTACTTTTTAGTTCTCTGACCATCTTCATTATAACACTAGATGCATCAGTCACCAACTCCTGAAGATTTAATATTCCCACCATTCTCTCAAGGATCCTCTTGCAGCCCATCTTTTCCATGAGTGAAGAGGTGCCACTTGCCTCTCTCTTGTCCACTACCTCAACATCAACAATTAAATCCAGGAAGTGGTCCATCATGGTGTACAAACAATACTTTGCACTAAAACCAGGGGAGTCCATTCGCCCATCACCACAAAGAACCAAATGGTCCTTTTCAAATAGATTCCAAATTTTTCCTTTCATTTCATCCCATAGTTCCTTGATGCTTGGAACAACATAAAATGTCTGAATACGATGGAAAGTCGTTGATGAGATGAAATTCATGTTCAAAGAAGATGCAAAGAGGCTGATTTTTTCAAAGTTATTTCCAGTAATCAATGTTGCTGCTGCCAAGAGAGTTGATGAAACAAACACTTTCTGCCCACCTTTGATTGAAAGAACTTTGGATGAGTGCCAGACACAACGATGGCCATTTTTGCACTGGTATATAACTGTCAACACACCAGCTTCAAGCTTTTGCTCCACAACTTCATTTTTTTCTCCACAACTTTTCTTCCCACATGGAACCTCAAACAATGGCAAAATTTTCTCCACATCCACCATCACTCGTGCACCTTCATACAGGGCTTGATATTTTAATGATGAACTTTTGCCCTTCATAAGTTCTTTAAAATCCTTCTGAATAGTTTCCTGTAACATTTTCTTGTGTTCTTTACAAGTACGAGATACCATTTCTGGTAGAACATCAGAACAGGTATTTACAGGTTCTTCTTGATGCCCTTGAACCACTGACTTTCCTTCAGCAATAGGGCATGATTCAATAGCTGTCAGAGTTGCACTTTCATCTACTGAATGCTCATAGGAGCTACAATGCAATAAATTAGTTGAAATCATCAAAATTAATATTATTTCAAATTCTTGCGGCATATGGGCAGTTTTACATTTGACTGCCAAAATAATCTTCCTTAATCTCATACCTCAGGATTTCACCTTACAATCCCTAGAATAAGTACAAGATGTTTCTTTTTCATCAATTTGATATTTACTGACCTGAAAGACAGAGGCTGATACAGGTCATCTTCTTCACGTTCACCTTCACTGGACAGGGCATCGGAAGATTCATAATCAGACAGAGAACTGTCAATGGACTCATCACTTGAAACAGGACCAGAACTAGGAACAAAGGACAAAACAATGAAAGCTTAAATATTGTTTGTTATTGACATTAGAAATAATCATGAGGGACATCTTGAACATGAAAAGATGTTGTGTTCAATGCACTCAACAGTGGAGGATCAAGATATATAACCAAAACATGATCCTAAATTTGCAGTAAAGTTAAATCAATTAATACACATGTACATACCCCATACTATCATCCACAAAAGGATCTCCTCTGAGACTCCCAAATTCAGGATTGAGGGTAGCCATACCCTGCGCAAGTGACACTGCAGACACTGAGATTTCTTGAGCCCGAAAATCATCTTTTTTTGGTTCTTGCCCAACGGATACCCCAGTTATATCGACACTGAGAGGAAAATAAAGATAACAATGTCCAAAATTACAATGCAGTGGTAATTCAAAACACGATTTGTGTGAATGTTCAGGGCTAGAAAACTGAGGAAAAGTAATAAAGTATAATAATTAAAAATTAAAGAATTACGATATCATCATCCTCATCATCATCATCATCATCATAGCAATAAAAAGACAACTGAAACATTACCACAAGAAGTTGGCCAAGGTTTGTTTGTGTAAAACAAATCATATTAGAAATTCCCTGGAAGCACTGGTGTCGTATGCAATAAGAATGATATTTATGTTTATTCGCATGTCAATTTGATGGAAAGCAGGTCAGAATAATACTTTCAGCTATACATTCATCCAGCCTACCATTAGTTTGA